GTTCCAGGATGTTTTTCTTGTAGCATCCTGCACTAGTTCCAAGGTAGAAGTCCTCCCTGGAAGCCCCTTACGAGTTTCAGCTTTCCAAGGGGGTGGGAGGAAGCTGAGAGAATGTCCCTAGGAGAAAGGGCTGCATCTGCACAGAAGCACTTAGCAATTAGCAATACCCAAGTAATATGCAACAACTCATTTTTTTAGAGCTAATTCTGCTCTATGTAGTCCCAGTTCTTCACTGTTGCAGTTTGTCTGTATTAAAGGAAACAGCACACATATTCATTAAAGATGACTTGCCTTTCAAATGCTCATACCATATTGATTTCCTGCTTCAACTGAGGATTAATAATTTAGGAGATGCAGAAAAGTCAATAAATAGTTTCAAGTTTCCTTGTATCTTTCTGCATTTCCATGGCTTCTTAGTCAACAGTTACAGTGTATGCTGGAATGGACAGAGGTGAAATCAATTCAAAAACTTGCATTTTTGCATATCAAGCAGAATTGTTAGTATCTTCAATGTTGATATTCTTGGGTAACAAAAGACTGGATGTTTGCAGAAAGGACATAAAGTAACCATTTTCAATTTAAAATAACACACTTCTGTACCTGCAAGCACTGGCATAATATGGTCAGTATAGGCTGGAGTGCAAGAGGACAAAGCGTTACCTGGTCCAGGCCCCCCAGCAGCAGCAGCTGCACTGACCCCTTCCGAAGCCGGACGGCGGGGGTGTCCAGCGCAGCCGCACGGCCTGCGAGGAGCTCCCCGGCTGCCGCGCCATTCCCGCTGCCAAAGCTTCTCACGCTCTCGCCTCTGCTTTAGAACAAGTTTTTCCTCATCCCACCTGCAAAATTAAAACATCAACCCTCCTCACTCCTATGCTGAAATATCCTTTTCATACTACAGTGCCTTGTAAACCACTTAATGCAACAGGCTACGTAGAGAGAGCCAAGGGGAACAACCTGGGAGAAGAAAGACAGTTTATGCCATTGATTCCCACTGCTTTTGTAGCTGAACCTTCATTAAGCAAATTGCCCATCTTCCACACCTTTCAGGATCTAGCTCCCCACCTCTCTCCACCAGGCTGGTTTAAGGCTGCTGCATACTCATGCTCTACCCACTGCTGGAACGTGTCCAACAGAGCCAGGCAAAGGTTTAATAGATCAGCAGTTACACACTTGCACTTTTCCAGTGAGGCCCTTCCTGCTATTTAAAGATCTTAGAGCAAATTACATCTCATTTCTGGACCACTGAAGAGGCCAGTGGTTAAATGGATAACTTCCCATGCCCCGCCTCTCCAGGCAAGCTTCAAAATGGTTTACCCTATATCTTCCCATAGTTGTTTACTGACTCTTTTGGATCAAAAGTATTTGGTTATTCTTTGTTCCTACCTGATCCAGATTAATTATGTTATTAGTAAAATTAATAATATTTTGTTCCTCTGCATGTTATGTGAGAGAGCTGTGATATGCCAAATAATTAACAGCATTACCCAGAAGATGAAACAACTATTCTGCACCATAGTGCACCTAGGCCAATGCCTAGGCAGAATTTGATTTATGTTGTGATCCTGAAAAACTCTTCCATTATAAATTTATAGAAACTATAGTTATATATATGTATCTACTTATATAATTTTTATAAATAAAAATATACACACACACACACAGAAGACACTGGAGAGTCCTCTGTAAGGAAGGAAATAGAAGTGCTATGAGCTTCTTCAGCCTGACCAACTGGTATCTCTCCCATTGAATTGCTCAATTAGATTTGTTCTAAAAGCCATTTCACAGTCTTTAAGGTCATTAGTTGGCACAAGTTATAATTATGATGAAGCACTGAATGACACAAACTGAAAAAGCATGTACTTACTTCCTTCAGCACCCTGAGCTCAGCTACTTTAGTTTGTAGAATTTAGGCCCATAAAAAGAAAGCAAAACAAACTACATACAACACATCCATCACCATAAAACAAATCTCACAACATTTTCTAGGCAGAAACTCAGAAATTGCTTTTCCAAGTACATATACATAGACATACGTATACATATAGTTATATCAACTTATACATATAGTTATATCAACTATAAGTAGAGCGAGTATAAAAATATAAACCTTCTGTGCATTATGCTTGTTTCCCTCCACAAGAGGGATTTTTCCATCATTCCTGCCCAGTCTTGTATTTCATACTCACAATATTCTTGTTTCGGCTACCACTTTGGTCACTTGCTCCCTAACTTCTACTCAGTGTTCACACATGAAACTTCAAACAAACGCACTTAGTACTATTTTATTACCGTTTTTTTTCAAGCTTTTTTTGTTGTTGTTCTTAAATCACAAATACTAAATAGTTAAATTCTTTTAATATCAGATCCAAGCAGTTTGTGCATGATGTGAGAAAAAGAAATTGGCTGTGTGAGAAAGAGAAAAAAAAAAAAAAAGCATACGATGGTGCCCATTTAGCAAACCTGATCCATTTTGCTTCCTCCTTGGGAGGGAGCAAAACTTGGACAGGCAAGAAGATTCTGTGTCTCTCAGTAGAGTCCCTGATAGCACAAAGGATTTGCACATCTGCCAAGCTTTGAAGAGAAAACGCTCTGCAAACATGCAGGAGTTGGTGATTTGCAAGCTCTACATCGCTATAAAAAGTCAGAAACTGCCTGCTTAACTCCTGGTAAGTGGTTACCTGGTGTCCTGAAATGTCTTCTCAGATGGAGGAAAGGAATTTGGAAGAGACAGTGATTTGCATGACCAGCTTGTGATGTGAAAACCCTGCCAGCAGATGCCTCTGGTACATTGTTGGGCAAGAGCTCCTCTTCTGCAGGACGGCAGCACGGTCCCTGCACCGCAGCTGAAGACTTGGCTGCTTCCAGCACTCCTCCCACTTTGCGCACAGCAAGTCTCTGGATGCTTAAAGTATTGCAGTAGAGGAAGAATCCTGCACGTCCTGCAGCTAGGGAGCATCCCAATGCATCTGACAAAACTAGGACAGACCCCAGCGTGTACTGTTAACAAGCCAAGAAAAATCTGAAGAGACACTGGGGTGAGAAAGAAAGCTTTCCCCCACTGAAATAATGAGTCAGTCCCAGCTTGTGATTTATTCAGTAGTTAAGCAGCGCTAAAACCCTTCAGTTTATGAACTGGCCTGTGTTCTAAAACTACAGAGCATGCTCTTCAGTGCACTTCTCCTCATGCCTTTCAGTGGGGCTATTAACTTCAATCCTACCACCTTTCATTCCCCTTCTGGGATTTCCCTTAGAACTAGCAACTTCTACATAACTGCTTTGCCTTTTTTGTCACAGAAAGACTCTTCTTGAAACTTGAATTACAATTCTCTAGTAATTCTTTTT